AATTTTGTGACTCAGTTAATTTACATGCACTATGATAAATTTCCTTCATTTCTTATTAATACTAGCAACATTTTGTCATTTACATTTATCAATGCACTATTTTAACCAAAAACCAATTGATATTATTGACATGAGTAAAAATTATAAAGTTATAACATTTGAAAATATACATTATGATCGATTCTAAACATTTTACCACGGAGTACTTTCTTCAGGTCTCTTCATGCCTCTCAATTGATGCAATACCCCCACCGGAATTGGTCAGGCTATAGTAGCGATGCACATAGATGAATCATGCTTTAAAGATGCACAACGAACAGGAATGAGTTGGTTCCTTGATAATGCTAATACGAGTACTATTAGGAGTTTGGTGCTATACTATGACTCTATGAGGCTTTAGTTTGTCTTCATAGATTACAACGGGCTTGTCTATTTTAGTTATTAGAGACTCTTACACTTTACTAGTTTAGTGTCTCTACTCTCTAAAATTTACGAGCATAATTTTGTCAGCATTGAACATCTTTAAACCTAAAAATGGACTTACACTTGAACAGTTGTACTCCAATTTGAATGGAGTATTAAAGTCGATTATGATTGATTACTTGTTTTATAAAGGGTACGCCTATGCTGTGCATTTAATAAAACTAGCTGTATCAGCTCATAATTTCTCTGTTTTTCATTTTTATGAAGGTTTTATAAGTAGTAAAAAATATTCAGACATTCAGTATTACCTTAAGAATTATACTACTACTTTTATGAAAATAATGTGTGTAGTATGTATGAAATGTCATCTTCAATTCCAAATAATAAGGCTACTTATTATTAGAGCTGCTAATTGGGGTAAACGGGTCGGGTAAGAGTGAGTCGCGTCAACTCGGGTTGGGTCAATTCAGATTAATTCCATAACCTATGTGGGTCGGGTTTGGGTTGGGTCATGCTTGAGTCGGGTCACATTGGGTCATACTTCTTATCGGGTTTGGGTCGGGTTAATAACAGGTCGGGTGAACAATAGGTCGAGTTTAATTCGAGGTTTCACGAGTTAAAATGGGTTAGGGTAATTCTCGGGTTCGAGTCGGGTTCGGTTCAAGTCAACAATTTGCGGGTTAGAATCAGGTCGGGACATTCTCGGGTTTGAGTCGAGTTCGGTTCAAGTCAATAATTTGCGGATTATAATCAGGTCGGGTCATTTTCAAGTCGGGTCATTCTCGGGTTCAAGTCGGGTTAAGTTCATGTCAATAATTTGCGGGTTATAATTAGATTGGATCATTTCCAAGTCGGGTCATTCTCGGATTCAAGTCGGGTTATGTTCAAGTCAATAATTTGCAGGTTAGATTCAGGTCGGGTCATTTCCAAGTCAGGTCATATTCGGGTTCAACTAACTATAAATAGATAATTATGATTTTTATCAAGCTAATTATTTCCTTTGACTATAATATATATGGCAATATACTAGGGAACTATAGTCTATAATTTAGGAAGATAATTATCTTCTTTGACCATACAACAAATATATACTATAGTTAACTCTTAAATTTGAGGATGAGGCTTCTTTCTTTTGATAGCCTAGACCGACTTGGTCTCCCAAGACAAAATGCTTTGATCAACAATAATAAGGTGGTCTAAATTGCATTTAAGGTGATTTGAAATCGGGTCAGGAAGAACTTGGTTTGAATTTAGGTCGAGTCAATAACAAGTCGTGTTAATTTCGAGTCGGGTTAGTAACAGATCGGGTTGGGTTAGTAATAGGTATGGTAAAATTCGGGTTGGGTCAATAATAAGTTAGGTTGAATTTGGGTTAGGTCAATAACAAGTCGGGTTGATTTCAGGTCGGATTTATAACAAGTTGTGTTAAATTCGGGTCAGGTTAGGAATGGGTCGGGTTGAATTCAGGTCAGTAAGTAACAAATCGGGTTAAATTTGGGTTTTGACGGGTTAAAACGGGTTTTGGGTCAATTTTGGTTCAAGTCGAGTTCGGTGCAAGTTATTTAAATTGGCCGTTGTAAACCGGTAAATCGGTGCAAGTTGTAAACCGGTAAATTGGCCGTTTAAAAGAAAATTGAATGGTTCCACACATCCAATTGGACTCCCGGAGGTTATTAGGGAGCATGGTAAATATTTCGGCAATTTTTATTTTCGGGTGCAAAAAAGTCAAAAAAATACCAGAATTAAAGGCTAATATCCACGCTTTTTAAGAAATTTTGGAGGTCTCAGTTCCCGGTGTCAAAAAGTCTTGATATTCTATGGGATACATCTCGGGGTCATATAATGCCGTTTGAAACCATATATGATAATTATATTGTTGTCAAAAATGTTCATGGTAGACCTGAATTAATGAAATCGGTGCAAGTTGTAAACGGGTAAATTGGTCGTTTAAAGGCAAATTGGATGGTTTCACCCACCCAATTGGACTCCCGAAAGATATTAGGGACAATGATAAACATTTCGGCAATTATTATTTCGGGACAAAAAAAAATTCAAAATTAAAGGTTTTAGGGCCCGGTGTAGAAAAGTATTAATATTTTATAAAATACATCTCGGGGTCATATAATGCCATTAAGAACCATATATGATTATTATATGTTGCCATAAATGTTTGTAGTAGGCTTGAGTTAATGAAATCCGTGCAAGTTGTAAACCAGTAATTAAATTGACCGTTTAAAGTCAAATTGGATGGTTCCACCAACCCAATTGGACTCCCGAAGAATATTAGAGACCATGGTAAACATTTTGGCAATTTTTATTTCCGGGCGAAAAAAAGTCAAAAAATTCCTAAATTGAAGACTAATATACACGTTTTTTGAGAAATTTTGGAGGTTTCGGGACCCGGTATCGAAAAGTCTTGAAATTTTAGAGGATACATGTCGGGGTCATATAATGCTGTTTGGACCATAAATGATCATTAATTTGTTGTCATAAATGTTCATGGTAGGCTTGAGTTAATGAAATTGGTGCAAGTTGTAAACCGTTAAATTGGTCGTTTAAAGGCAAAGTGAATGGTTCCACCAACCCAATGGGACTCCCGGACGGTATTAGGGACCATGGTAAACATTTCAGCAATTTTATTTGCGGGCGAAAAAAAAGTAAAAAATTTCAAAATTGAAGGCTAATATCCACGCTTTTTGAGAAATTTTGGAGGATTCGGGGCCCGGTGTCAAAAAGTCTTAAAAATCTAGGGGATACATTTCGTGGTCATTTAATGCCGTTTGGAACTATAAATGATCATTATTTTTTGTCATAAATGTTCGTTGTAGGCTTGAATTAAAGAAATCGATGCAAGTTATAAAGCGGTAAATAGGTCGTTTAAAGGCAAATTGAATGGCTCCACCCACCGAATTGGAATTTCGAAGGGTGCTAGGGACCATGGTAAATATTTCGGCAATTATTATTTCTGAGCGAAAAAAAAGTCTAAAAATTCCAAAATGAAAGGCTAATATCCATGCTTTTTGAGAAATTTTGGAGGTTTAAGGGTCCGGTATCGAAAATCCTTGAGATTTTAGGAAATACATCTCGGGGTCATATAATGTCGTTTGGGACCATATATGGTCACTATTTGTTGTCATAAATGTTCGTGGTAGGCTTGAGTTAATGAAATCGGTGCAAGTTGTAAACTAGTAAATTGGTCGTTTAAAGGCAAATTGGATGGTCCCATCCACCCAATTTGACTATCGGAGGGTATAAGGGACCATGTTAAATATTTCGGCAATTTTTATTTTCTGGCGAAAAAAAGTCAAAATTTTCCAAAATTAAAGGTTGATGTCCACTTTTTTTTAGATACTTTGGAGGTTTTAGAGCCTGATGTCGCAAAGTTTTGAAAATTTACGGAATACATGTGGGGGTCATATAATGCTATTTGGAACCATATATGATCATGATATGTTGTCATAGATGTTAGTGGTAGGCAGTAGGCTTGAGTTAATAAAATCAGTGCAAAATGTAAACCGGTAAATTGATTGTTTAAAGGCAAATTGGATGGTTCTATCCTCCCAATTGGAATCCTGGATGATAATAGGGACCATGGTAAACATTTCGGCAATTTTTATTTTTGAGCGAAAAAGTCAAAAAATTCCAAATAAAATTGAAGGCTAAGTTCCATGCTTTTAAAGAAATTTTGGTGGTTTCGAGGCCCGGTATTGAAAAGCCTTAAAATTTTAGGAGATACATCTCAGGGTCATATAATTCTGTTTGAAACCATTTATGATCATTATATGTTGTCATAAATGTTCGTGGTAGAATTGATTTAATGAATTCGGCGCAAGTTGTAAACCGATAAATTAGTCGTTTAAAGGCAAATTTTAATGGATACACCCAACCAATTGGACTCCCGTAGGGTATTATCTAGGGACCACGAGAAAAATTTCGGCAATTTTTATTTCCGGGCGAAAAAATTCAAAAAAATCCAAAATTGAAGGCTAATATCCACGCTTTTTGACAAATTTTGGAGGTTTCGGGGCTCGGTGTCAAAAAGCCTTTAAATTTTAGGGGATATATCTCGATGTCATATAATGTCGTTTGGTACCATATATGATCATTATATGTTGTGATAAATGTTTGTGGTAGGCTTGAGTTAATGAAATCGGCGCAAGTTGTAAACCGGTAAATTGGCCGTTTAAAGGCAAATTGGATGGTTCCATCTACCCAATTGGACTCCCGGAAAATATTAGAGAACTTGGTAAATATTTCGGCAATTTTTTTTTTCCGGGTGAAAAAAGTTAAAAATTGAAGGCTATATCCACACTTTTTGAGAATTTTTGGAGTTTTTGGAGCCCGGTGTCGAAATGGCTCAAAATTTTAGGGAATATATATATCTCGGGGTCATATAATGTCGTTTGGAACCATATCTGATCATTATTTGTTGTCATAAATGTTCGTGGTAGGCTTGAATTAATGAAATCTATATAAGTTGTAAACCGGTAAATTGGTCGTATAAAGGCAAATTGGATAGTTCCACCCACCCAATTGGACTCCTGGGGGGTATTAAGGACCATGGTAAACATTTCGACAATTTTTATTTTCGGGTGAAAAAATTCCAAAATTGAAGGCTAATATCCATGCTTTTTGAGAAATTTATGAGGTTTCGGAGTTATTATACGATCAAAATAAAATTATGACAATTCAAAATCAATTCTTACGTGTCAAAAAAAAAATAAAAAAAAATCAATTCTTAACAATTAAATAGGCTATCATCTATATATCCTTTCAAATGATTACATACCACAATTAAGGGAAGACATAACAAGAGATTTTATAAGAAAATGAAAGAGAAATACTTTCTATTACAATGAATATATATTATATATACATTATTACATGTAACAAAACATTTAATTTGTTTTGTGTCATCTTGGATGTAAGTCTAATATTTCTTTTACCACTAAATTCCTAGCCCTATTAATGGTCATAAAACAAAGATATAGGTGCTCTTCAAGTTCATCTAATTGATCCATAAACTTTGCGTCATTTCTCTTAAGTTGGCGAGCCACTTCTTCACCGGCTTGAGCGTGTAAGTGATCATCAACTCGATCCATCCAAAACTCGACCATGGCTCGAATATGCTCTAGCTCATCATCAAGCCGAGCCACAAGCCGACTAATTGTATCCAAATCCCTATTCAAAATGTAGGTTCCTTTGGCAGCTGCATCAAGCTGAGCCGACGTCTTGGCTAGTTGTTTTGTTGAAGTTGAGCCTCTAAACGCAATTATAAGGCCCGGAACAGCCATAGACATGGCTACAAAATGAGTTATGACAATTATTGTAATTGAAGTTGTTAGGGCTACAAGAAAAACAGCCGAGCTTACTTTAAAGCTATTTAGTACATGTAGCTTGGCTTTAACCCTATCACGTTGGGACTCGAGCCGTTTGAGTAGCTCGGAACAGTTAGACTTCACGGCTTGAAATCGAGCTAATGAAGAAGAAGAATTTACAAATGGGTTAATAGATTTAGTGATTTCGGTTAGCCGTGGTAAAATTATAGGTAAATGGTTAGAGGATGATGATGAAAATTGAGGAAAATCAAATGATTCTAGGGTTTTCTTAAGGGAACGATACTTAATACGTAATCTGTCTGTGTCTTTTAGTAATTGACCACATAAAAAAGATGCGTTAGCAGTATGCTCAAAATAGTTAGTAAGAAGAGACATGATTTTGGGCCGGTTTTTGGTTAAGGATAACAATTTTGTCACGGTAGATTGATCAGGGTCTAAGAGATGATCAACAAAAATCCTATAAGAAAGCAATCGTGTTGTCGAGGTTGATCCCAAAGATTTTTTTGAGAGAGACTCTTTATGTGTTAGTGCCAAAACACGAGCCCAAAACTCATTATATGATTCGGTTCTAAAGGCATTTGCATATTCCTCTCTAACATCCACGTTAAAAGGGACATGAAGTTCATTCGATGTTGAAACTGCATTATATGAAATGTTTGAAATAAAAGTTGGTTAGCCAATAAATAATTTACTTAATGAAAAACTAATTTACATTCGTACATAATTACTGAAATTCAATATCAGGAAATATGTGAATGTGATCTTCTTCATGTTGTTGTGACAAATTATGGGTATCACAAATTAGTTAGTTGAATACTTGATGTTAGATTATACCAAGAGTAAAGTGTGACAATGACATAATAGTATGAAAGAGATGTGAATATAAACATTAAGCCACAAAAAAATAAAATCCAGCAACACTAATAACATGAATGTGAATAATTTTTAAACAACCAACCAACTACCTAATCTATCTTATCTAGCTGTTGCTTCAACCACTGGACTTGCTATGATTATTATTCTACTACTAGTATGAATAATGAATTTACATTTTACAGTGTGTTGCGCAATCTTTATATATATAGTAACACATCCATGCAATTTATTCTCAGTCGTCTAAAGTAGAAACTATCTTTGACTAAAATAAAAAGTACAACAAGTAGTTAAATAAGAACAATAAGTTGATTCAATGTTTTAAATTAAAATTTTAATGAATGATCGAGTTAGTAGAAACTCCTAATTGATCGATCCTTGTGATTGGGTAAAGTTCGGACTTGATTTTTTTTTTTAAGTGTTCTTGGTCCTATTCCTATGTGGTTGTAAGTACGGAATAATTATTTATATTTTTTATCACTACCTGAATCCGTTTTATAACAACTTACCCTAATAAAAGCTTTTTTTAAAAAAAAAAAAAAATAGGGTCTTAAATTAAAAGCATTGAAACAAAACAAAATCAAATTTAATGATTTGACAAAAACAATTTTCCCTAATTGGCCTAATAAAAGCCTTTTTAAATAGGGTCTTAAAAGCATTGAAATTACACAAATTCAAACTTAATGATATGACATCAAAAGCACCTAGTAGCACCGCCATAGTTTGAATGAACTTACTTACAATGAAGTCTAAGGTCTAACCTATTTTCGACAAATTCTTTATAAGAAATTTGATAGAAGAATGCAAGGAAGTTAGAAGTATGTTGTCATTGTCTAAAACATATTTAGTATTTTTGGACATTTTTCGTTTTTAAAGTTTGTTTTGTTGACTATAACTTCTTGTTTCATATAAAGCCAGACATTATTGCTAGATTGTTGGTTGTTAAATTATGTTTATATAAATTGTTAATATTCGTGGATCTCTTGATCTCAATTATTTAATTAATGATAGCGTTTGGTTTGGTGACAATGTGTTACACATTTGAAGGGTGACTTAATTATATTGTTTTAGTTTATGAGGCGTGACTCATAATTGTTTTATTGACAAGTTAGTTATTTATCTTATAAATTAAAACTTTTAATTAAAACCAAGTTCTCTATAATTAAATTTTCTAGAGACGTATAAATTAAATAGCTAGGTTTATCTATATATCTTCATTCTCCTTTCTTGAGTTCCTCTAAATAACCTAGTCCAAACAAATTTTCATTTACCGCCGAATGGTTTATTAGGTTAATTTCACAAACGAACTTCGATTTAGTGATTGATCGTACAACTTTTTTTTGAAAACAATTGATCGTATTATTTCATTACTATACATATCCACCTTATAATTAAGGTAACAACTACCTAAAGATTGAGTTGGGGACTTGGGGTACATTAGAGAGATGATAATTCCTCATTCTGGGACCAAGAAGGGACTACATACATGTTGTAAGTGATCAAAATGAGAGCAGGGTTTAACTATATTTGCCTGCTCATTAATGCATGCATATTTCACACACTACGGTATACATTATACTTCAACCGTTTTTATCTAGGTGGGACTTTTTTTTTTTTTTTTTTTTAACACTATTCACACATGTAATGAATATTTTGAGATGACCTATAGTCCTATATTAGATAGAAATGTACGTATTGTAATTTTTAAAATACAATAATTAGTACCTATTCTCTTCAGCTTAATTTCAATTTAGTTCCTAATTTTCTTCTTTCATAAACAATCCAGTTCAGTTTAGTTCACTTCAATTCAACTAAGCCTTAGTAAATTTAAAATTTTACGTACCATGATATTGTTAAAAAAAAATGTGTAGGATTTTTTATAGTAGATTTTTATACTCCTTAATATGATTAGTTCTTACAATTGAGGTTTGCCACAAAAAAGGGTTACATACTTGCATCTAATTAGATTAAACAAGTACAATTTTAATTTATATGTACTATATATCTTTCATTGACTTATTTTTTTAGATTTAAAAATCCAATCATTATTAATCCATTGATGTGGACTCTTTTCTAACATTTATAATGCAGATGAATTATAATTTCTCATCAAACACCATGATTGTAGATAGTTTGTTGGTGGCTGATTTAACTCGGGCCTTTTATTAGGTAGACATAAAATCTTCCAAAACCATCAAATATTTATTATCCTTCCAAAATTATCTCTATATTGGCTTCTTCAAGCTAAGTCAGACAAAATACTACTTTTGTAACCTTAGTTTTTTTATAATTTCTTTTTAGAGTAATTTACATTAAAATATTTTTATGTTGTGTGACGACTCAACTTAGATGGAATTAACTTTTACGTTAAAATTGTACACTTTCATCAGAATGTCGACCATTTAATTTAATTTTTTTTTTCAGGTACACATTATAAATAAAGTAATTTAATAATGGTTTTTAAGACATTATTTTAGACATGACCAACAACAAGTTTTCAAAAAGCTTTTAAATAAGTAAAAAGTAAAAACCTTTACTAGAAGTAAAAAAGTTATGTTTGGTAGAAATTGTGTTTTATGATGCCGATTAGTTAACTCCTGTAGTAGTTAAAGACTTGAGATAGGTTTCAAAATACTACCTTTTGAAGTTTTTTTTTTTTTTTTTTTTTTTTTTTTTTTTTAACCGGAACCTTTTGAAGTTAATGTAGCAAATAATCTTTTATATACATCCAATTGCACATAAAATTAGGTGCACCTAAGGTGTTTTTTTTTTACTTGTTTAATTTGATAATTTTTTTTTTTTTGTTTTTATTAAAATAAGAAAAAAAAAAAGTTAATTAAGCACAAAATATCCTTAGGTGCACCTTGTACCCGGATATATATAAAAATTTTCAAATATTGCTTAATTTTAAAATGAAATTAAAAGTATTTATAGATGTACAAATTTATACATATAATTTATCACCATATTTAATCACACTGACTACAGAGTACTTTTTAAAAAGATTAGGAAAATTTGCAAATTGCAGCCATTTAAAGTTCGTATTTTGCAAATTGCAGCCATTTAAATTTTTTTTGCAAATTGCAGCCCAAAAGTTCGTATAAACTGTAAATTACAGCACGATTCAATTTTTTCATCGGTTTACATGTTGAAAAATCTTCGGTTAAGGTTTTAGGGGTCATTTTAGTTCTTAGGGGCCGAATTGAGCTCAGAATTAACAAAAAAATAATGTAAGTATCTCGTTTTACGTCACAAAAATGTATCGATTTGTGGGAAACTGTAAATATGAGACACTTACGTTTTTTTTGCTGATTCCGAGCTCAATTCGGGCCCCTAAGAGCTAAAATGACCCCTGAAACCTTAATTGAAGATTTTTCAACATGTAAACCGATGACAAAATTGAATTGGGCTGCAATTTACAATTTATACGAACTTTTGAGCTACAATTTGCAAAAAAAAATTTAAATGGCTGCAATTTACAAAATACGAAATTTAAATGGCTGCAATTTGCAAATTTTCCAAAAGATTATTACCATATCTAATCATATGGAGTACTTAACACTATCTTTTTGACTACTAACATCTACCCCTTAAAGCCTTAACAACTACAAAGTACAAGTAGTCAAGTAATAACTAGCTACCAACTAGTACAGCTAAAAAAAAAAAAAAAAACTAACAACTAGTAGTCTAGTACAACAATTATAAGGTGAAATAATACAGTAAATTTATGTCAAAAAAGTTAATACTTAACCAATGAAATCTTGGCTTAATTGTTTAAAATTGAAGGTCAATATACGATATGTCTAAAATTCCCTTAATTATATAAATTATAATTTGTATTCTCTTTGTAACTCATTTAGAAGGAGCCGAGATAACACGATCCTCGTATTTAGCTATTGACCAATATCACAAAATTGCTAATACGAAGTATGTTGCAACATACCCGGTCAAGACCAATAGGCCTAAGAAATGGTGGACTAATTTAGGAACATACAGAGATCTTGTTAGTCTTTCATTGATGGGCCTATTTTTATGTTAAATTTGGGCCAGCATAGTTAAAAAATGGACAGATATAAAGAGGCTGGCCCAGAATAAAAACATGCAATGGAATATCTAAAATCAATTACTACATACTTCGTATTATTTAACGAGACAAATAGTCACTCCTATTAACTACTTTCTTCATCCCTTATTATTTGCACCATTTGATCCAAAAAGCAGCCTTATAGTGCAAACAAAAAGGAACCGAGGGAGTAATTTCATCGTACAAAAACATTTTATATTACAATTACTTCAAACTATTTAAGCAAAACCATAAAGACATATGGTAAAAGTGGTTTAAAAAATTGATAATAATAAATAAATAAATAAGGAAGGGTAAGAAAATTTACCGTTGCAAGAAAAGGCCTTTTTTGTTCGCAAAATTATTCTCCTCATCTTACCCATTTATAATAGACTCTTAAAATATCACTGCAATGATAAACGATAACGATTTAGTACTATAATTGTATAAGAATAAATGAAACATTAAAACAAAAAATGTTATTTGGGAAAATAAAGACAAACCTTAAAATTAAGGAATTAAAGAGAGAATAATTATATATTAAGTTGTTTGGAAGAAAAGAAAAATTTGTAGAAAATAAAAGGGCAGAATTAAGAAAAGTGAGAGAAATGGAAGAGGCAGGTTTATATAACGCAATATTGTATAGATTGCTTTAAAGGGAAATTGAAGAGAAAAATTAAGCATTGATTAATAACCTCAAGTTTTTGAACTTATAATATAAGCTAACTATAATTAATCACACGTCATGTACTTGAAACTTAGAAGCAATATATATATATATAAAAAAAAAAAAAAAAAAAAAAAGCACAATATTATTTTGTGTAAATGTTAGTGGTGCTCATTTTATCTCATGTTGATGATGTAGACTTGTATAGACTATAATATTGTGATAAAATAAAGTGGTGTAAATTGGAACTTGTTGTGAAAGTTAATCAAGAAGCAATTACTAGCAATAACCGACTAAGAACAAGATAAGAGGATCTAAGGAAAATAGGAAATCATACATTCATTCATACATAAATTATGTCTAAAAACAGAATCATCAATTCGTCACTCTAACTTTTTTTTTTGAAACATTCGTCACTCTAACTTTGCTGTGATTTGGGAGGTTATTTTTTAAGTAGCATGTATCTTCCTAGCATTATTACATAGTTCCGCCTAAACGCAACGATATAATTTTATGCCTTTTGTGGCGTTATGTACTTGTGTGAAGGTACAAGTGTATATATTGATTACAATGACTGTTTACTTGTTTAGAGTTCGTTTTAGTCCTGTAAACCGTGTTTATACATACCAAGTTAAGCTTGGTCTAGTGGTAAGATTGTCACCTTTTAATTATGAGGCTGGGGGTTCAATCCCCACTAGGGACACTTTGAGGGTGGGGATTCCTTACCCTTCCCCCTCATTCTCAAAGTGTCTGACTTGAAAATACCGGACCAAAAAAATCGTGAGAGTTGAGGTATGGTCAGGGTCTTTCTCCTTACCATAGAAAAAAAAAGGTGTTTATACATTGTCATTTTCTTTAAACAATTGGGTTTTGTACAAGCTCGTAACTTATCATAAATATCGATGATTAATTAATATTCATGAAATAAGTTGTTCTTAAATTCATTTTTATTTTATTTTGTTTGACTTTAAGGGTACAAGCTCAATCAACGATATATTATGGATTTAATAAAGCTCAATATTGAGACCAAATAACTTAAATATACGATGGCCTACGAAGTCAATTAGGGCCCAATGAGTACATTTTACTCAATTAGTCTAAGGTACACCCTTGTGCACCTTAGATAGGTGTAACAACGCAAAAAAATCAACACTAAGCTCTACAAAATGAACATTCAGTAAAAAAAATATGAACAATTAGTAAAAAATATGAACATGAAAAAAATGAACATTTAATAATAAAAAATGAACACGTAAAAAAAATGAACATTTAATACTTATAATGCATATGTTTTATAATCATATTATTTTTTATTACTTCAAATTTTTATGTTCATAATTAAATGCATTATATTCATAATAATATTTTATATGTTCATATATAATTTCAAATATTCATAATGGAAATATATAGTGTTGTTCATGAAATATTAATTAAATCTGTTTATGCATATGTTGTCTTTCTTAAATATTTATGTTCATATTTTTTTACTTATATATTCACTTTTTAAATGCTTATATTCACTTTAAGAAAATCAATGCTTACGTTCATATTTTGAAATGTTATGTTCACTTTCTGAAATGCATAAGTTCATATTTTTTATGCCTATGTTCACTTTCTGAAAAGTTAATGTTCACATTTAAGGGAACCTATGCATATGTTCATATTTTTCATGATTATGTTCACTGATAAAAAAAAATGCAGAAAATCAGATAAAATTCAATTTATTAGAATTAAGAAAATCATATACAACCTCCGTTAACATTTAGTTGCAACTTTGGAATATTTTATATCTCTCAAATAATACCCCAAAGTTGCAACTAAATGTTGACGGAGGTAGTATAACCTAATCAATCAAAGTTAATCACAAAGTCACCACATAAGAAATCGAAAATCACACATTTTTATGCCTATGCTTACTTTCTGAAAAGCTAATGTTCATATTTTTTATGCCTATGTTCACATTCTGAAAAGCTAATGTTCATATTGTGCTGTTGTTACACCTATTTCTAGGTGCAAGAGTTTGTACCTAAGAATATGCGCATTTTACTTTCACTTTATCTTTCCTTAGTTTTAGCACTTTAGCTAAGAGACGTAGATTAGTTCGTGGTAGCAATAGCATTAGTATGCTATAATCTTTAGAGAAGCTACTCATTTTCGATTGAGATTAATCATAGAAGTACCCTGTACCCCCTCCTCCTTGGATTTGATTCAATCGTCAACCTGTTTGTTTCTTTAAAGTCTAAACTTCCAACTTATTTCGACAACATCTAATTTAAGTTAAAGTGTTGCAACTAAAAGTGAATTAAAGAAGAATGTATTTTACAGGACTATTATTCATTCACTCGTTCGGTACTCCATAACTTTATGGCCCAAGTTCGAATCCTCCATCCAAAGCATAGGAAGTATCCCATGTTTGTTTGTTTCACATCCTCGTTCACATGCATTGGGCCTGTAAAAGATCTGGTCTAAATTTCTGGTGGGCTAGGCCTAGAACCCAGACTAAGTTGTGCAAGCCCAGAATAATTACCTTCAGTCCAAACCCAATTTGGACACTTTACGTTAGTTGCAATTATTCTCGTTATGGTCTGTCACGTTGAATTATGCCTTTCTTCCTTCGTTCTATTCTGATAAGTGATCAACTTTGTAAATTCGCTTGTAAAAGTTCACCAACCTTAGCTAATCAATTGCTTTTGCAAATTGCGCTAAAATTTTAAGCGTAATTATATGTTTAAGCGTTCAACCTTTTAAATTAAAACTCTATATAAACATTTCGTATATATTGATTGGATTGATGAAAATATTACTTCGTATATTTTTGTCAACTTTTCCGTTTTATTAATAAATATATATCCGTAACGATGACATATATAAAGTACTAAAGTAGCATCGTATGTAATTATTGAGACAAATGAATATAGATTGGCTTTTTAATATTTATATAGTTAATATAGTTCTGTCATAATTGGCGTATGAAAGAGCTATTGATTGTTAATCAATAGAACTTCAATATCTTACAAACTTATAAATGCTTGATTACCAGAATTATAATTTTTAAAACATACAATTACACAAATAAAATAACCTTTCAATAATTTAGTGAAATTTAATTAATATCATCGCATAAGTAAAGCCAAAATTTTTAATTTATTTTTTAATGAAGGCAAACAATATGTTAATAAACAATTGGGAGGTTGGAGAGTACTATTCAATGCTAAGGAACTTGGTCAAGTGTCAATCGTCATACTCGTCAACTTTAGCAAGCCACTAGTTTCTAATTGAATCGAGCAGACTTTATTTTTTTTTTTTTTTTAAAGAACCTTCTCACACAATCCAAGATTCCAAAAGAGAAAACAGCCTACCTAGGATATCAACTAGTCCAAATCTTTTTATGATAGCGTGAATCATACTAGATGTTAGTGGCCTAAAATGAAGGATCACCATGTTAAATCTCTACTGATTTCAATTACTATACCCTAAAAAATCTCTAATAATATCATGATTTGAGATTTTCTATGATATTTGATCATATTATTTTGCTTTTTTTCCATTAAGCCAAGATATATTTACAAATCACAATATATATAATTGGATAAGATACGTTATCTTGTTACTTCAAAATCATACAAAGTAATCTATAAGATAAGAAATAAAAATCATACAAAGTAATTAAGATTTCAAAAAATCAGGTATACACCTCTTTTACTACCAATCAGACTCTAATAAGGGAAGAAACCTTATGGGATGAGATTTTGTCATTTTTTGTTTTTCTCAAAAATAAAATAAAAAATAAAAAATTGCATACACATCCCACACTATTGATGTTTCCGCGTAAATGTCACACAAAATGAGGGTGTTTTATGAAAAAAAAAAGGAATTGGACTATAAATACATGTTGACAGCCTACAATATTCTATTCATTAGATAGTCTTTTTCTATAAAACAAGGCTCTTTCTCATTAGAATTTTCTCAAAATTGTCTCCTCTTGATCATCTATCTAAATGGCGTCAAGATTTGAGGTAGAGGTGACCTTGTCATCTGCCAAGGACCTCAAGAACGTCAATTGGCGTCACGGCCCCATTAAGCCGTATGCCGTTATTTGGGTCGACCCGGATCGAAAAATATCGAGCCGGGTCGATGAGGAGGGGGACACTTCCCCACAATGGAACCAAACACTATTGGTTCCCCTCGATCGTCCCATCGAGGATGCCACCCTTCACATCGACATCGTCCACGCTTATGCGGCCGAGGACACCAAGCCGCTCATCGGCTCAGCTAAGCTCCCTCTTCAGGAGGTGGTCGATGATGTTGGTATAGGCGGGCGCATCACCCTTAGCTTAAAGCTCAAGCGTCCTTCTGGTAGGCCACATGGGAAACTCGAGGTCGAGGTCGTGGTACGTCAACCAAGGTACCACGCCCCCGACCCTTACAGCGCGCCGCCATATGGTGTTTCTAGAGAAACATCATATAGCGGCAGCGCTCCTTATGCGGCCCCACCATCAGGGTACCCGCATGCGGCCCCACCTTCTGGGTATCCAAATGCAGGTCCCCCACCTGGGGGCTACCCATACGGGCAGCGCCCATATGCCCAACCCTCGTATGCAGGTTCTGCATACGGGGTTGGGCAACCCGAATATGCGCAGCCCCCGAGTTACGGTCAGCCCGCATATGGGCAACCGAGCTACGGGCAGTCAGGAGGCGGGTACGGTGGTTACGGGCAGGGGGTCCCAGTGGAAGAAAAGAAGAAGAGTAAGTTTGGAGGGATGGGGACAGGATTGGCTGTGGGTGCTGTAGCAGGAGCATTGGGTGGACTGGCATTAGCAGAAGGTTTTGACAAATTAGAAGATCATATTGCTGATGAAGCTGCTGAAAGAGTTGAAGATGATCTTGCTGCTGATGATGCTGGTTATGATGATGCTGATTATGGTGGGGATGATTGGTAGATTATTTCATTTTGTCTTGATTTCCTAATGTATAATCAAATACATCTGATCATAGCTTTAATCCTTTGATTTTAATTTTAATTTTACATTTATGAATTATGATCATGTAAATGTTATGCATTTGGGAAATGGATGTTATCAAAGTGGAATAAAGGTTACTGCTTTAAAAATGGTCCAATAAATTAATGATCCTTGTTGTTTAATGCCCCACCTAAATTTTACTGTTATTGTATAGATTGATTGTCGAACAATGTAGTATATGCTTTTGATGTTTCTAGTAACTTGTACAAGTTTGAAACAATTGGAAAATTTTGATTAAGTCAAACTTGCTAACTGAGATAGAGTCTAAATTTAAACATAATTAATTTGGGGATTAATGGATTATTGAACAAATAATAAATTGGGATTGTTTGCACAAAAAAGGATTTTGTCACCCCTGAATTGGATTTCGGTAAAGGCTACGCATACAATTGTTTCATACATTTTGAAATTAAATGATCATGGGAACCACAATGTTAATTGGGGATCGGAATCCCATATGAATTCAAGTGTACATAAAATAGTTAGAAGAGTGTAAAGGATAATATCCAAATATCTATGAAACATGCATTCTAATTCCATGTTCATTTCACTTTTAAAAAAAATATTCAACAAAAATAATTTTAATTCCGTAAAAATATTTTCAATTTAGCAAAAATAAGGTGAAGTGAATAAGGCCTAAATTCATGTTATGTCAAATTATAAATGTTAGTGCAACATATGACTGAAAAAAAAAAAATCAAAAAAAATTTTAGAAAATAAAAATAAAAATAAAAAATCAAGCTTAGTCAACATAAAGGTTGAATTAAGGATCTGTTTACATTTACTGAATTGAGCTTAACTGAACTGAACTGAACTGATTGGAGATGAACTGAACTGATCGGAGCTGAACTGAAATGAGCTGAAATGAATATTTTATGAGAGGGAAATTAAGAGCTGAACTGAACTGAAATGAAATTAAGAAAATGTGAACATGCCCTAAAACAACTCACATACAAAAAAAAAAAAATACGGAGTATATAAAAGGAAAATAACTTAAGTAAGTTCATTTCGGCTTAATTTTAATTTTGATCAGTTGAGCTCTAGCTAATCGGTTTAGTTCAACTCCAATCAATTTAATTCAACTCCAATCAGTTCAGTTCCTAATTTCATTCTCTCATAAATCTATTCAAATTCAATTCAATCAAGCTCCAGCCAGTTGAGTTCCACGCACTCAATTGTTTTCAGTAAATAAAAAACAATTTGGATTTTTCTTTTACTCATTTTATTTTCTTTTTCAATTTTTCTTTTACTCATTTTATTTTCTTACAAATCAACTGCAAAATGATAGTAAATTAGTAATATGTACCCATTATTCTAGGACCGGTACCCATTATCCATGTGACAATGAATTTTCATATATATCTAATTATCAATAGGAAAAATTAATATCGCATAAGTGCATGTTGACATCACTTGTCACACCTTTCAATTAGATGATTGCTTGAATTATAATTTCGGATTCTTAAAAAAGAAAAATAAATCACAAATGGATCAGCTCATTGGCAATTTGATGATGAGTAGTCGTTTTCTTATTCTTTGTTAAAGAATAAAGACCATTTTTCTATAATAAATTGTCAAAGAAGGCATGGAACATCAAACCAAAGGATTGGTGTTCAAGCTATTCTGCCACCCGCGGAAATAACACGGCTAAGCTATTCTATATTTCTGAGGAACAATTTGGTCCCCTAATACATTTTTAAAAAAACAAAAAATTAATGCCAAATTTAAAATACACTATATTTATATATAAATAAACGAATATGCTTCGCACATATATATGTACTTTAGTGTGCACTCACTACCTAAAAATCTCCAAGAGAACATTGATTTAAAAAAAAAGAAATAACTTTTTTTTTTTTTTGAGGAATTAATAAATAAAGTAATTGAGTCCACAAACTTTAGTATAAATAGCCAAATATACATGGGATGTCAATTTGTAGTCCACATTACTACCCATCTACAAGAAATCTTCATACAAAAGTTATAGAAGGTACCATACTATATAATGGCATACGAATTAGAGATAACGTTATCATCCGCTAAGGATCTCAAGAATATCAATTGGCGTTATGGCCCCATAAGGCCGTACGTTGTGGTATGGGTTGACCCAGGTCATAAAGTTACAAGCCGGGTTGATGATGAGGGGGACACGAGTCCAGAGTGGAACCAATCACTAATTGTCCCCCTCGTCCGTCCCATTGAGGATGCCACCCTTTTTTTAGACGTGGTCCATTACTCGTCTCCCGATGAGGACACCAAGCCCCTCATCGGCTCAGCAAAGGTCGATCTTTGTAACATTGTGGACAACGTTGGTATTGGAGCTAGTGTAACACGTAGTCTCAAGCTCAAGCGTCCCTCTGGGAGGCCCCAGGGGAAGCTTGAGCTCGAGATCATGGTACGTGATCATAGATACCGTGGTCCAGATCCGTACCCTACACCCCAACACGTCGAATATAATGCCCCACCGTACCCATATGGGCAGCCTGCACCATATGGTAACCCGGGGTATGAGCAGCCCACGTACGGGTATGGGCAGCCAGCCGGGTACGGGTACGAGCAACCGGAGGAGAAAAATAAGAGCGGGTTCGGAGGAATGGGGACGGGGTTGGCAATAGGTGCAGTAGCAGGGGTGGTGGGTGGTATAGCGTTAGCTGAAGGGTTTGATCAACTAGAGGATCATATTGCAGATGAAGCTGCTGAACAAGTTGAGGATGATCTTGGTGATGAAGATGATGAATAAAGTGATTAATTAATTGAATTGAATTGGTGTATGTGCATAATGCTAAATCAATTGTGACAATTGCATTAGCTTGGTTGTTAACTTTTACTGCTTAATTAATCTGAGATGTTGAAATAATGCACTTACTAAAATGTGTATTGTGATGTTACAAAGTTTATATAAAGTTGACTTTTAAGCTCCATGAATAATTCATGAACGCAAAAGTGGCATAATGTTACAGCATGTTTCATGTTAAGTTGAAGGTTTCTTAAAATTATAATAATACTACTTTATTTTTGCTTATTCATCAAAGTGAGTAGTAGATGACTTGGATTTATAACTTCTTGGATTTTATGTTACATGAAGCCATAAACTATGTTTGATTTTTCAAATATTAGTTGTTAATAACGTAACATTATCAATGGAACCATTGTTCACCAAAAAGCAGTAACAAGCCCAAACATCATTGTATTTAAGCTGATACACCCCCATGCGACCTTTTTTGTTTCAACATTTAAGTCCAAAATTATCCAAAAAGAAAGGCTATAATCCACACTTTTGGAGTAAATTTGGAGGTTTTAGGACCCGATATTGTAAAATCTCAAGATTGTAGGGATTGCATCTCGTAATCATATACTTCATAACATTTATTTGGAATGATATATGATGTAGTTGGTCATTTAGGGCCTATTATGATTTATTGAACTGAGCTGATTAGAGCTGAACTGAACTGGAAAATTAGAAACTGAACTGAAATTAAGCCAAAGACAACAGACCCTTAAAGGTGGGTATCTTAAGAGAGTTGCCACAATTTTTGTTACAAAATAAATTATGACCTTTAATCACACTTTTTTCAATACTCCCTAATAAAAGAATCATTAGAAAAAGAGGAATTGATAACGAAATCAAAGTATACTCCTTATTGCATTAAATTTGGCTTTGTTATCTTCAACTTATTTGGCTTAGTAATTTTTATTTTTTTTAACATTTTTTTTTGAGGTTTTTTTAGGAAAATGTTATACATAGCCCTTAGGGTTACATATAAGCATTAAATTTACAATTAAAAATCGTAAAAAAATTAAGAAGTCATCAAAATATAAACACTAATAACACTGATTTATGCGTGTTTATGTCATAAATTCCTAATTTTATACAATTTACAAGAGCATATTTAATGCTTATATATACTCCGTAGCCCCATATAACATTACCCTTTTTTTTTTTTAATGTCATTAACCTTACACATCTAAACAAATCTTCTATAGTGCTCAGAAGTCCAAATCTCAAAAGGTTGGAAATTCAATAATTCATCCTAATATGGCCCATTCTAGACCCATGAAAAACGACCAAATCCAAGTCTAGAAAAGAAAACGAAGCCCAATAAGGGCACAATTGTCCTCTTACCCCAAAATGTCAAAACCTGAAAACCCTAAACCCTAAAATCAAACTCACTACCTCCTTTATAACATTCTCTAAACCCCAAGTCGTCTTCTCCACTCTCTTTCCTCCATTCTCCTTAAACCCTAATTTTCTCTGCAATCTTGCTTACTCAAAGATGGCACCACCAGGAAGAGGAGGTAAATCACATTTCCCCAATTCATTGTTCTACTAATTTAATTTTCCCGATTTTTATATTTTCTGATAATAATGAGTTATAATTATTGTGTTACAGGAAGAGGTGGATTCGGCGGAAGAGGCGGCCGAGGCGGCGGCGGCGGTGGCCGAGGAATGGGTGCGCGTGGTGGAATAATGAAGCCGAGAGGAGGTGGTCGAGGTGACAGAGGTGGTCGTGGAAGAGGCGGAGGTCGTGGTGGAGGAGGAAGAGGTGGAGGGATGAAGGGTGGAAGTAAAGTGATAGTTGAGCAACATAGACATAAGGGTGTGTTTATTGCTAAGGGTAAAGAAGATGCTCTTGTTACTAAGAATATGGTTCCTGGTGATTCTGTTTACAATGAGAAGAGAATCTCTGTTCCGGTAATTGTTCTTTCTTCCTCTAATTTTGATTTCTTTCTGGATATGAAACTATGTATTATGTTTTAATGATGATTATATTTGATTATGGACACCAAATTATATGTTATGTTTTAATCATGGTTTATGATATGTATGGTTTGTTTGGGTATTTTTTTTTAATGAGGAGATAGGTTGCTGCTTAATTTTTATGTTAATGTTTTATTGATTGTAAAAGTTGTTTGCCTTTTGATTCATTTTGTAAAACTTTTGAATGATTTGTTTTGGTGGTGGTTCTGTACTAATGTTAAATTTGTTGATTGTTGGTTGAGTTACGTTTGATAATGTGGTACAATTTGTTTATGGGTTATATTGTTCGTGTTTTGAATCGTTGTTTTTTCATTACAGCAAGAAGATGGAACAAAGGTTGAATACAGGGTTTGGAATCCCTTTAGGTCAAAGTTGGCAGCTGCCATTCTTGGTGGTGTTGACAATATTTGGATTGTAAGTATTTGATTTTTGGGAGTTTTGTAAAAAGCTAATTACTTTGGTGTGCAATGTATATTGACTGATGTAACTTCAATTTGTATATGATTGCAGCAACCTGGTGCCAAAGTCTTGTATTTGGGTGCTGCTTCCGGAACAACAGTATCCCATGTGTCTGATCTTGTTGGCCCTGTAAGTGGATTGTCGAACATCGAATGTTTAAGCTAGATGTTTGCTTATTTTAGAGTTGGATTTGAGCAATTTATTCTCTTTGCAGGAGGGTGTTGTCTATGCAGTTGAATTTTCACACAGAAGTGGTAGAGATTTGGTTAACATGGCAAAGAAAAGAACTAATGTTATCCCCATCATCGAAGATGCTAGGCATCCAGCCAAATACAGGATGTTGGTTGGCATGGTTGATGTCATCTTTTCTGATGTTGCTCAGCCTGATCAGGTCTTGATTTCTTTTATTGATCTAGCTTGGCGTTGTGCTGAATAATTAACTTCTCGTTGTTTACCTTGTTTTCTATTATAGCTGCCTTCTTCTTCATGCTAATATTTTTGCTAATCTTTCGGCGCAAATTGACATTTTTGTTTTCTTTTTTTACCTTGTCCTTGTTCTATAGCTGTAGTGGTTTCTGGTGATATTTATACTTGACTCATTTTCAATACAAATATTATTTGGTGTGGCAGTGTCATTTTGGGTGTGTTGATTTATTTCTAACTAAATCAATGCTTCAAATTTCTGACTTGTTTTTAAAAGCTATCTTCCAAGTTTGTTGTTTTTGGAGTTCTTTTTTCCTTTTGCGTTTATCGCTTATCATAAAATCATGCATATGATGAGTTTATCGGATTCCCCTTCAAGACTTACTGGGTGATGTAAACTCCGATTATCTGATGCAACCTTTTTTAAATCATGAAATTTTTTCCAAACCTTTGCACTAGCTTGCACTAGCAATTAATGGTTGATGTTAATTAGACTAAGTATCTGATGAGTTTATCGGATTCCCCTTCAAGACTTACTGGGTGATGTAAACTCCGATTATCTGATGCGCCAAAATATATTTAATTATTTTGCATTTTTGAATTTTGTTAAATGGCTTGTTTTTGTCTGGATCTATTTTATCACTTGCTGTTTTTGTTTTCTTCACTTATGAGACTCAGTTGTTGATGTTAAACTCCAAGTATCTGTTTTGTCAAATTGTTGTTTGTGTTTCATAGTGATTTTGTTCTATAAATCAACATGTTTTTTTTGTACCACTTAATGTTTCACTTATTGCTTCTTCTTTATTTTTCAAACATTTTACTTGTGATCAGTAGAGTAATCAGAAATAACCTGCTCGTAAGCTGTTGCTACTTGTGGACTTGTGGTGTAGTTGTGTACAGTATTAATGTACAAGTTTGATTTTGAGGTGATAGTGTAATGGTCATATTGGTGCAACCATAAGTATTTGATGTCCTACCTTGAGGAGATTAAATGGGAACTCGATCCTTTTACATCCCTAGTTTAATACTTGGTGCCATATATTTATGATGCCTTTTCTCACTTTTTTTGTACCATGATATTCTTGATGGGTTGTTATGACATTCAAATTCATTCTGAAATGCTTACTTGTTTTCCTTTGTGTTTATAAAATTCCCTCCTACAAATATCTGTTTTGGGATGGGAGTGTAATTACATTTGTTACTGCTTGAATGAAATAAGTGTGCTCTCTTTTCTGACTTCATTTCTATGAAGAGTTCAAATTGTGTTACTATGTACTGTTATTTCCTCATGAAGCTTATGATCTACTTGTATATTTGTGTTGAGAAATATGTTTCTCTTTCTAATTTGTGCTTGGAAAATAAAGTCTTTTCTTATGTGCTGTTTATTTCCCGTCGTATTTTTTCCTACGTCTCGTGTCCTTATCGACCATGCTCTATACACGAGCCCCCTTCCTAATTGATTTCCAGAATATTTGGAATGCAACTGTAATTGAGTTCATACTAGTCTTTTAATTGTGGAATTGAACTATATATCTCCCGAAAACAGCTTTTTAAGGTCTTGTGGTGGTGAGTTATCACCAACTCTTCATGCTTTTATGATTCCAGCATTGTTGAGTTGAAGTGAACCAATGTTGTTGCTTGTCCTTATGGCACTCTGTTTTTCTTTCATACAGGCTAGGATTTTGGCACTCAATGCAACATATTTCTTGAAAGCGGGTGGCCACTTTGTTATTTCCATCAAGGTTTGTCATTGTTCTTTGTAGAGCTGGTTTGGTCCCATGTATGATTTATCCTCGTTTCTCAATATAATGGATTTGGTTTTGAATATTGCAGGCTAACTGTATTGATTCAACAAGTCCTGCCGAGGCAGTTTTTGCTGCGGAAGTGAAGAAGCTACAACAAGAGCAATTCAAACCCATGGAGCAAGTCACTCTTGAGCCATTTGAGCGTGACCATGCTTGTGTTGTTGGTGCTTACCGTGTGCCCAAGAAGCAGAAGGCCGAGAAGTAGAAAACTGTAGTTCTTTTATCACCCAAAGTATTAGTATAGGCCGTGACTATGGTCAACTTCTTGTACAACTTAGTGTTACCTATGAATCATGTGAGATACATTGTCCAAGCTTTTTGTGTTAATGTAGTTGGATCATAGAATTTTTGCTATCAGTGTTTTTTTTATTTTTCTCCTGTGGTTTTTGAATGCATCATTATATTTTATGAATTGTGTAATGTTGTTGAAATATGTGGGATCCCAGAAATTATGCATCTGACCTCTTTGAACTCTGAATGTGATTATTGATTCTGTAGTAGGATCATATTCATTCACTGTGTTATTTTAGTGTTCCTTCTCTTGAATCATAAAGATTAATTGAATCATAAAGATTCTGTTAGACTAATTTACACGAACAGTTGAAATATAAGCCCAAACTCTCTTCATTAAAAAGCCCCAAAATTATCAGTCTTTCGAGTCAAGTATAAAAGTCAAAGGTGAATGTCCTAACCGTCAATGGCATTTGAGATGGTTAGAGTGAGGGATAGGTGAAGTGGTTAAAGTTTTCTTCTAGGAAATCTTGAGATCAATTTCGTCATCTTCCCCAAAAAAATCCTAAAGTGCATTCAATTTTACTATTTGGTCACAACTAGTCAAATCGTATTTATATGCAAGTAATACTTAATATTAAGATCAAAGTGTTATTAAACCATCAAGCTAAGGAATACACCTTGAGTCCTTGACTATACCCAAAACAACCTCTCAGTCTCTTAGCACTCTTGCGGTCTTGCCTTACTATATTTTGGCTTTTACTTTATTTATCTGCTAATGCTTCACTTCTCAGTTCAATAAAGAAGCTAACGTAGACTATGTATAGCTGTCAATTCGGGTAAATGGGTCGGGTTTGGGTCCGGTAAGAGTGGGTCGGGTCAACTTAGGTCGTGTCAATTTAAATTAATTCCATAACCTATGCGGGTCGGGTTTGGATTGGTTCATGCTTGAGTCGGGTCACGTCGGGTCATACTTCTTATCGGGTTTGGATCGCGTTAAGGTTAGGTTAATAACAGGTCGAGTTACATTCAGGTCGAGTGTGAACAAATAGGTCGGATTTAATTCGGGTTAAAACGGGTTAGGGTAATTCTCGGATTGGAGTTGGGTTCGGTTCAAGTCAATAATTTGCGGGTTAGAATCAGGTCAGGTCATTCTCGGGTTTGAGTCGGGTTCGGTTCAAGTCAATCATTTGCGGATTATAATTAGGTCGGGTCATTTTCAAGTTGGGTCATTCCCGGGTTCAAGTCCGGTTCGGTTCAAGTCAATAATTAGCGGGTTATAATCAGGTTGGGTCATTTCCAAGTCGGGTCATTCTCGGATTCAAGTCGGGTTATGTCAAGTCAATAATTTGCAGGTTACAATCAGGTCAGGTCATTTCCAAGTCAGGTCATATTCGAATTAAACTAACTATAAATAGATAATTATCATTTTTATCAAGCTAATTATTTCCTTTGACTATAATATATATGGCAATATACTGGGGAACTATAGTCTATAATTTAGGAAGATAATTATCTCCTTTGACCCATACAACAAATATATACTATATTTAACTCTTAAATTTGAGGATGATGCTCCTTTCTTTTGCTGGCCTGGACCGACTTGGTCCCCCAAGACAAAATGCTTTGATCAACAATAATAAGGTGGTCTAGATTGCATTTAAGGTGATTTGAAATCGGGTCAGAACAATTTGGGTTGAATTTAGTTCAGGTAAATAACAAGTCGTGTTAATTTCGAGTCGGATTAGTAACATATTAGGTTGAATTTTTGGGTTGGGTAAGTAATAGGTATGGTAAAATTCGAGTCAAGTCAATAACAATTTGGATTGAATTCGGGTCAGGTCAATAACAAGTCGGGTTGATTTCAGGTCAGGTTTGTAACATGTTGGGTTAATTTCGAGTCGGGTTAGGAACCGATCGGGTTGAATTCAAATAAGGTTAGTAACAAGTCGGGTTAAATTCGGGTGTTTTGACAGGTTAAAACGGGTTTGAGTCAATTTATGTTCAAGTGAGTTCGGTGCAAGTTAATTAAATTGGCCGTTATAAACCGATAAATCGGTGCAAGTTGTAAACCGGTAAATTGGCCATTTAAAAGCAAATTGAATGGTCCCACACACTAGATTGGACTCCGAATGGTACTAAGGACAATGGTAAACATTTCGACAATTTTTATTTCCGAGCGAAAAAAAGTCAAAAAATTCCAAAATTAAAGGCTAATATCCACTTTTTTTGAGAAATTTTGGAGATTTCGGGGCCAGGTGTCGAAAATTCTTGAAATTCTATGGGATACATCTCGGGGTCATATAATGCCGTTTGGAACCATATATGATCATTATTTGTTGTCATAAATGTTCGTGGTAGGTTTGAATTAATGAAATCGGTGCAAGTTGTAAACCAGTAAATTGGTAGTTTAAAGACAAATTATATGGTTCCACCCACCCAATTGGACTACCGGAAGGTATTAGGGACCATGGGAAAATTTTTGGCAATTTTTGTTTCCGGGTGAAAAAAAGTCAAAAAATTTCCTAAATTGAAGGCTAATTCACGCTTTTTGAGAAATTTCGAAGTTTCGGGGCTAGGTGTCGAAAAGAAATAAGATTTTATTAGATACATCTCGTGGTCATATAATGGCGTTTGAAACCATAAATGACCATTATATGTTGTCATAAATGTTCGTGGTAGGGTTGAGTCAATGAAATAAGTACAAGTTGTAAATCGATAAATTGGCCGTTTAAATGCAAATTAGATGGTTCCACCCACCCAATTGGACTCCGGAGGGTATTAAGGACCATGAAAAAAATTTCATCAATTTTTATTTTCGGGCGAAAAAAAGTTAAAAATTCCAAAAGTGAATGATAATATCCACGCGTTTTGAGAATTTTTGAGGTTTCGGAGCCCGATGTCGAAAATTCTTTAAATTCTAAGGGATACCTCTTGGGGGCCTATAACGCCGTTTGGAATCATATATGATCATTATACGTTTTCATAAATGTTCATGGTAGGCTTGAATTAATGAAATCGGTGCAAGTTTTAAACCCGTAAATTGGTTGGTTAAAGGCAAATTGGATGGTTCCACCCACCCAATTGGACTCCCGAAGAAAATTAGGGCCATTATAAACATTTCAGCAATATTTTTTTCGGGGCAAAAAAAAGTCAAAAAATTCCTAAATTCGAAGGCTAATATCCACGCTTTTTGAGAAATTTCGAAGGTTTTGGGCCATGTGTCGAGAAGAAATGAGATTTTATTAGATACATCTCGGGGTCATATAATGACGTTTGAAGCCATTTATGACCATTATATGTTGTCAATTGAAGCCATTCTTGTTAGGCTTGAGTTAATGAAATAAGTGCAAGTTGTAAATCGGTAAATTGGATGTTTAAATGAAAATTGGATGGTTCCACCCACCCAATTGGAATACCGGAGGGTATTAGGGACCATGGTAAACATTTCGGAAATTTTTATTTTCGGGCAAAAAAAAGTTAAAAAATTCCAAAATTGAAGGATAATATCCACGAGTTTTGAGAAATTTCTTAGGTTTCGGGGCCTGGTGTCGAAAAGCTTTAAAATTTTAGGGGATACATCTCGGGGTCATATAATACTATTTTAAACCATAAATGATCATTATATGTTGTCATAAATGTTCTTGGTAGGCTTGAGTTAATGAAATCGGTGTAAGTTGCAAACCAGTAAATTCGCCATTTAAAGGCAAATTGGATGTTTCCACCCACCTAATTGGTCTCCCAGATTGTATTAGGGACCATGGTAAATATTTCGGCAATTTTTATTTACAGGCGAAAAATAGTCAAAAATTCCAAAATTGAAAGCTAATATCCACACATTTTTAGATGGTGAACCAAGTTTAAGGATGACTACTGTTGAATTTCATTAGACTTCAGTAAGTATGGTGATGAGATGTGATAAACATCATAAAAAGTTAATAATCCTATAGATTTCTATCATGTAGGATATAATCCTATCCCATAACAAGTTAACATTTTTTTTATCACATTATTTATACTATCAAATAAGATTATTAAATCAACCTTAATACTTATGCAAATTAAGTGTTTAGTAGGCTTATTTTATTATTAAAGTTAATCATCTTTTTTGATAGCCTTTTTCTTGTATGAATGTAATTTGATGAATTATTGTCAAGCAGATCACTGCAATCAGTTCAGATACAGAGAAAAAAATCGATTCGAGGTAGATTTAGGCCTTAGATGATTGCTTTCCTAGTATGTAACCATTTTTCACCTATATAATGGAGCTATGAATTCAATGAAAAGTGCAAACTTTTTTCAAATCTTTCTTCTTTCTAGCTGTTAATCTTCAAATATGACAGCAACCAAACCCCTCTCCTCCTCGGCCTCTGCCTCTGCCTCTGCCTCGGCCTCTTCCTCCTCTTCTTGTTCCTCTGAATCCGGTACTGATTGGTCAAGTCTCCCTCGAGACTTGCTTTACATTATTCTAAACAAGCTCCTACTTCTCTCTGACATGATTATGTTTAGTAGTGTATGTACTAATTGGCATTCAGTTGCAAAAGACGCGTTACAAAAGTTCAAACTCTGTCCTAACATGTACTTCAATCGAAATTTTCCTTTGTTACTTTTACCATGTACAGAGAACAATGACTTCATCCGAAGTTTATACAGCATCAATAAAAGTGAGGTTTATGATCTTCAGCTCCGAGTTCCTTCCAATAAAAGAATCTTCGGCTCCTCTCATGGTTGGCTGATCACCCTCGATGAGGACTCTTTCGAGGTAATCCTCATTAACCCTTTTTATTTTAGTAGTATCAGCAATGGAATAATTCGTATTCCTCAGTTTTCTGCTGCTTCAGAAATGCAAAAAGAACATGGTAATTATGGTTTTAATTCCGAGTATTTTATATGTAAAGCTGTTTTATCCTCTGATCCTGTTTCGTGTCCAAACAATTTTGTATTAATGGTTATCTATGGTGAGATGAAAATGTTGGCCTATTGGAAGCCAGGTGCCGAAAATTGGACATATATTGCTTGGTCTCTCCCTATGTTCTTGGACATTATCTATGTAGAAGATCGATTTCTAGCAGTCAATACCTTAGGACAAGTTTACTCGTGTAAGCTCGATGATGAGGCCTACCCTCCTTATAACTTGCAAATGGTAAGTGCTCCGCAATTTGGTCTCTTAGGAACATTTTGTCGAAGGTACATTGTAGAATTACCAAATAAAGTTGTGTTACAAGTTATAAGGATGTTAAAGACTAGTAGGATGTGTGCCTTAACTAGTCCGATTTTTACAATTGGCTTCTTCATATTCGAGAATAAGGTGGATGAAGATGGTGAAAGTCTTTGGATTTTAGTTACGAACTTGAATGATGGTGCATTGTTTTTAGGAGATAATCATTCTCTTTATGTTACGGCTTCTAAATACCCTGGATGTAGAGCAAATTCAATCTATTTCACAGATGATTACCATGATACGGATGCTATGCTGCTCAATCCGTACCAGTTTACTGGCCCTCTTGACATTGGTATGTATCGATTGGATGATAAAACTGTCGAGAGATTGGACATTCCTCTTCTGGAGAAATATCACATGCCTCCACCAGTTTGGATCCTCCCAACTGTCTAGTGAAATATCCGCTTATAAAAAGATTAAATTCGTGTTTTCTTGTAATAATAAAGATGTCATTTTATTGAAGTTATATAAACATTTAGTCATATAGTTGATGTTAACATTAGTCTGTAATTATATCATCTAGTTCTTTCAAGTTGTCGTGCTATAAAATTGTTCGCAATATTATCATTTGCTAGAATGCTAGCCATTTAGTTCTGTATATATCTTAAGAATCTGTCTCATTATTGATGGGTTATTTTGTGTTGATCTCAACTGATTCGAACTGCAACGTGTAAAATGTTTTGACCAAGATTTCGAATGGAATAAATGAGTTCTGATATACTTCCATATATATAACATATTTTCTACCTTATTAAGCTTATATAATGCATCTGCTTAGTGTGAATGAAATCATAGTAACAAGTGTTGAGAAAACATAAATGTGATGCTAATACTGCAATGTTCACACTTTGTAACAACTAGTGTATCATAGGAGATATTCCATAAGAAATTAGTAAAAAAAAAAAAAAATATCAAGCACTTAATTCCATAGAAGTAGACTTGAGATGTACTTGTGCTGATTCTTAACAAATAAGCATTGCATATCGGTTACAAATTTACAACTATTAGTAAGGAAATACACGATAACATACACTTCTAAATCGAATGCATCTTAGTGAACTGATCTTTCCTTAGGAAAAGTTCGGTATTAGGTTAGCCTAACGGTACGTGCATGTTAATAAAACTAATTCGTAAGAAAATTTGATTTACGTAACAACAATTTTAATCAAGTGATTATTAAGCATGTACCGTAATATTATTTGCTGTTGCTTACGATGTAAATTCATTAGTAAGCATTTTTTTTTTTTTTTTTTTTTGGTATATATATGTGTGTTTTTTCTATGTCCTGTACTTATTTTTAGTCTTTTATTTTCAAAGCACATTCTAGCAATGGATTCTTCTCAAAACTCTTCCTCATTTTCTTCTGAAATGCCCGATTGGGCTATAATGGCTGAAGATGTGCTTCTGCTGATCCTAAGCCATCTTCTGCTGTCAGATATCATTTCCTTTGGGTGTGTCTGCAGCAGCTGGTATTCTGTCTCTAAACGCAAACTCAAATTACTCAACATCACTCCCAAAATGTCCTTCAGAAGACGCGCTCCTATGCTTCTGATACCAACAGATGACAGCAATGAGAATTCGCGCAATCTCTATAGCCTTCCTAAAGGAGAAGTTTATGATCTGAAGTTATCAGTACCTGTCAATAGCAGGTGCATTGGCTCTTCTCATGGCTGGCTTATCTATATCGATAGTCTGTCTTTCGTGATAACTTTATACAATCCGTTCTACTTTGGATTTAGCAAGGGAACCATCAAACTCCCTGCATTTCTGCCTGCAGGAAAAATCAATGACAGTAAGATGGCCATCATTCAACGCGATTTCTATACTGATTTATTCATCAGTAAGGCTATACTGTCAGCCGATCCTTCTTCCTGTTCTGATTTCATTGTGATGGCGATTCACAACGAAAGAAAAGGCTTGGCTTATTACAAGGCAGGGGAGGATGCAACTTGGACATACGTCCATGATCACCCAAATGGATCTCCCTTCTATGATATCATGTATTATCTAGGCCACTCTTTTGTTGCACTCAATAACAAGGGTGAGGCTTACATATGTAATGTGAATTCCAACAGCAAGACTTGCCAGGTGATGACTGAGGCTGTTGTAGCCACGCTTGCAGAAACAACGCGAAGATACATTGTGAAATTAGATGATGGATCCACCATCCTGCAAGCAATAAGGATGGTGCAGACTCTGACTAATCCTGATGGTACGCCTTTTGTAGACACCGTCTGTTTTCTGATGTACCAGTTGGTGAATCAATTTCAATGGATGATGGTTCACAACATCGGCGAGGGTGCATTGTTCTTGGGAGATGACAGCTCATTCTATGTCAAAGCTGCTGATTTTCCTGAAGTCACTCCTAATTCCATTTACTTCACTGATGATTACCCTGATGGTAGCACTATGAATCGTCGCCTTTATCAGTACCATGGCCACCACGACAGTGGTATATATGTGATATGGAAGAAAGTAGTCCTGTATAATTATATACCGTCTCCTGAACCTGAGAATATCCCTTCCCCTCTCCCTGTCTGGATCCACCCCACCATATAGGTGGAAGATTTGTGTTGTTTTCCATAATGAATTTGCAAGAGTAAAAGATATCGGCTTTTTATAGTATTTGATCTCCATTTTTCAATGTTTGTTTTGTGCATAAATCTTCATGATTCTGATATACAATCTTTATTGATTGTATTGTGACACGAATTGCACCATTTGTTTGTTAAAAAAAAAAAAAAAAAAAAAAAAAAAAAAAAAAAAAAATGGGTGGAAAATGTCAGAAGTGGGATTTGAACCCACGCCCTCGTTAGAAGACCAGAACTTGAGTCTGGCGCCTTAGACCACTCGGCCATCCTGACTTAGTGCTGATTACATCAACTTTATTATATCCATAGTTTTATATAAAATAAATTGGAACACTAGTTAAGCACCTTCCTAGCAATGATAAGCCTTGAGTAGTTTTGTATTTCTTCTTGTTAAAATATTATTGAATTATTCCTTAATGTTCCTAGTGTCGGATTTAGTACGTGCAGAAAAAATATGAATATTTACTACAGAGTATTAAGTTTTTTTTTTTTTTTTTTTTTTTGAGGAAACTACAAAGTATTAAGTTAATCATATAGTAAATAATACGGAGTAGCTTTTAAAATTTATTCATTGATATTCGATTGTAATTCTCCCAAGTTATGGCATTTACTTTGTACCATGTTTCTGATAGAGTATAAAAACATATTCCTAGGTCTCAATCATCAGTTTAAGCTTTTGGTTGAGTTGGTCCTTTAACAGTTTCTCCTCAAGTGTTCAATAATTACCCTAATTCACTGAATTACTGATGGATATTGCTATTTATAATTTTGGACTACACCGTGATTATTAATGTGCACAGAACACTAAACATTACTCGTTCAATAATCAGTTTCATTCTAGATAAAACTTAAGAGGGTGTTAATGTGTTATACATACATGTCCTTGACCTAGTGACGTAAGGATCTCACCGCGTAAGATTGGCCACATGTTGGATCTTTGGTCTGTGATTCATTTTCTTTAGTACAGAGTACTGCATGAATGAAGAATGCTAGAGAGGGGGAAAAAGGGATAATCCTACTAATTTATGATAGGCTCAATCTCGAAATATAAATGATTAATTTCTTCAAGATGTTTCAATAAAGTGTGAGGAAGAGATTGAGAGTAGATTGATTCCATATCTGCTGCAAAGATGTGCAATAATACATGTTTAACTAAAGGAATTGCAGCTAAATAATGAAATCACAAAAAATTCCAACAACGATCTTGCTTCGGCTTCTAGACTAGCAATGCCCTAGTTTAATGAGCAAATTTCCTTCAGAACAGCACATGGAAGGCAAACAAATAAGCTAAGGAAAATGGAGTAGAGATCTGGTAACTCCACATTATGTGAAATAAACTTTTATTCTCACCAGCACAGTGATTGCAACCCTCTTAGACAATACGGCATTGGCAAGAAAGCTCCGGTCAAAAGATCCAAAACTCCGACAGTGAAACATCGAGTGATGAAAGAGCATTAAGTCGACATCACTATCAATAAGTCAGTCATATGCTGTTAGCAATCTTATCTGTCTTGATCTCCTGGCCACCCCACTTCCGCATACGGCTACTTGTTTCCTCAACCTGCACATTACATTCCTTATAAATCTAAACAGAACATTTCGAGTAGATGACAGCAGTCACTCCTTGTATTAATCAGCCACCAACTGCTACAAATAATTTTACCTAAGGTGGGTTTATTTGTTCAGATGCAAGTAAATAACCTTATAGTATGTGTACTGTTCCAGTGGCTATAATACAACACCGGAGAGCTATAATACCAGAATATTAATCAAGTTTTTATTTATCTCAGACTTCCATATAAGATACTCCACAATTCCACTTAAGATGTTAAGAGTATTTAACATGCAATGACACTTGACTAATTTTGGGGTTCGAAGTAAAAACATACAGAGATTTTCACAATATGGCCGCGTTACAAATGTTTATATATAACTGGACTTGGATCAGTATCTCATCCAACAGCAGAAGCCAAGTTTAAGGAATGTGATTAAAGAAAATCCTAGACCACATGAACCAAAAATAGCTAATCATGCAATTATGCAAATACGCAATTACTATACCAAGCATGGAAGTGTGATTTGTTAACATGTGAAAATAATAAACTTGACAAGGAATGACAATCATGAATTATGCCTATAACAGACAGTAGTTGATATAAGGACTCTGCTACAAGTTCCTGATTTGGGAGCTTCATGAAAACATTGCATATCTAATACAATTAAACCTAAAAGAGGCTACATGGAAGCATCAAGTATCCAACAATGGTAATTGAAGGGATTTTACAATGAACTAGATGCTAATATCTAGTCCATTTAAAACAGTTATCCACTAAATCTAAATGTGAAGAGCATATAATCCTTAAATGAAAGCAAATGAAAGCTTTGTCAAACTCACCTCTTTTGTCCAGTTTGTTCGGTAGAGAATGATGAGTAGAATTATCGTCTGCAGGGCAGTTCCAGCAATCATGCCCCCCCAAATGCCCTATCATCAGTGGAAAATATATCAGAAACTAACTAGCTGGGATTGCTCCGGTGAAGGAAAGGCCCATAATTGCAAAAGGAAATTTCCGTACCATTACTCCAAAATCTGCTACATAGCCAAGAATAATAGCAAGAGGTAGCCCAAAAGCATAATAGCAAGCTAAGTTTAGATTTGCAACAGTACTTTGCCATCCCCCTCCAACAGCCACTCCTACAAAAATCATAAGCATTTAATAATTGAATAAAGAAACCAATTGTTGAAGGTCAATGGTAAAAATGTGCAAGGAAATTATTGTTCAGAATTCCATCAGTGGTGTGTTGATTGAACGGAAACTCTGCTGCAAGTTCAAGGCATATAAAAGATGGTTATACATGTAAGTTTGGTACCTGAAATGACTGGCTGAATGCTGTTAAGAACCATAGTAACACCAAGAAGCCAAGCTAATCTGGAAACTGCTTGCTGCAATACCTCGCTGTCAGTGAAAATAACAGCAAAATAGTCTCTAGCAACAAGGATGACCACCATGCTCAAAAGCCCAATGACGAGAGACTGGACAACTGCAACACAGACGCTATATTTGGCTGCCCTTGGATGAAGCAATCCAAGCTCATTTGATACACGAACACTAGAATTAAGGGAGCAAAACCACTTCAGAAAGGATAAAATATTTGCAATAGCCAATCATAACATCTTAATCACTTATTTTATCGAGTAAAGTAACAACTCGAAGTACAAATAAAATTTTGTGTCTACATAGTGTCTTCTAACCAATAAATAATATTGCAGAATCCAAGTAATAAAACAAATGAATTGAAGGGATCAAAGGTCTCTAACAAAGTGCAGAATTTACCTTATAGCAGCATTTATTCCAATGAATATCATAGCTTCTATTCCGTTTATATTCATGCTGAAACAAAAATAAGTGAACCGCATTAACAACTTTAATCATGAAATATCCAACATAATACAACTGTTCATCTCCCGATAACTGTTGTGCTTCAAAGGAATGATGAAAAAAAATTGGAACTAATAATTCTATAATAAAAGGGGAAAAAAACTTATAAGTTCAGATTGGCAACATACAATGGCATGCATTGTTTCAGCAATGCAACTCACCAGATAGATAAGGACCCTACAGCAATCACGGCATTTGAAAGGTGACCGGCTAAGAGAGTTATGCTCATCATATACCAGATTTCAAGGCAAAGCATAACAGCAGAGGCAATTGAAAGCCTAACAAAGGCCCATATCTCCTTGAAAGCCGCCCATGAAAACCCTGACCAAGAATCCTTGCACCAACCAAAAACATAAACTAATTGGGCTATTGCAACCAACCAGCTTGTGAAGTTAAAAGCTGCTGCAGCCCCTAGTAGACCCCAGCCAAATACAGAAATGAAAAGCCAGAGAAGCACCACATGCTCAATTAGAGCCAAAAACCCAATCCAAGCCAGTACATCAACCTTGCTCTGGGCTTGTAGGAATTTCTGAGTAGGAAAATTGATAGCCAGAGAGAATAGCTGTGGTATGGTGAGAAGGGTGAACTTTCCGGCAAGAACAGCTATATCATGGTCCTGTCCTAGAAGCTTTAATAATGGTGCAGCGAAGATGTATATAGGTAACAGTACAAGACAGCTCATCAACAGGATAATCCAAGAGCGTTGCATGTAAATTCCAAGCATAAAAACTTGTCCGGCACCAAAAGCTTGGCCACACAATGTCTCAAGTGCGCTCCCCATACCAAGCTACAATATTCAACAACAATATTAGATCCCTTAAAATCTCAAAAGATAAAATTCTAGAAAAATTACGTAACATATCCGGTCCTCAAGTAAGGAAAGAAATTTGACAAAGATAAAAGAAACTTAGATATGAAATATTATACTCTGTACGCCCCTAGTGTTTGTTAGGTGCAAGTAATAACTGAAGATTTCAGGGGATGTGGCAAGTGGTAACATTTCGATGAGGAATAAAAAATGTCTGACCTTTATAACCTTCTCAAGTTGTTTCCATAACCGATTTGGTAAGCATGCTTATAACTTGCCATATACCCCATTTAAGATGTAATAGTATATTCTATAACATATAACTAGATGGCCCATCAGTGCCATGCAGCTCAAAGTCAGCCCTAATTAATGTCTGTTATATGAACATGTACTTAATCCAAATCCAGGGTTAAGTATCGGTACCCATGTTGGAGAGGTATAAATGTTCACTGTCTTAACATGGTAATTTGAGATTATATTGAAGAATCAAAATAACAGTTTTGGGTGTATTCCATGATCAGTTGCACTTAGTACTTTTAGTCATATATCCTATAACAGTCTGAAACAAAATATAGTACTCAAAAGTTCCTCAAACTGAATGTCTACAACAGAGAGAATGAAATCAACCAAGGGCATAATGATTTGCCATTAGTTAACTACAACTTAGTTGCAGCATTGCAGCAGGACAACAAAAGGGTATATACTAGACATTGAAATGTGCTCAGACTGCTTATAATATGGGTCAACCAAAATGGTCTCTCTCAATAAATTTTCCGAAGACATTAATAGCACTGCACTTCCAAATAAAAAATATAGTCTAGAAAAACCATATTTCCATGTTTAGTACTACTCCACAAGTTTTTCCACTCTACTTTAGACTCTAACGTTGGATCCCACACCCAACTATCCACCGGGCCACTATCTTCTTCTAGATATTTCACTATCTTCAAACTTCATGCAAAATAGAGACAATAACTGCATCAAGAAATTGAATTTATATGCTCTTTGACATTAAGAAACTAAGACATATGGACACTGTCAAAATTAACAATGCAGTAGAAATATACCCCAAGTATAAAATTATGGTATGCAGCCATAAATAACCTAGTTCATCTAAATATGAAAATGGACACACTCAAAACCATGGACCACATTCATGTACCAGAGACAGATGCTTATTTACTCAAACCCATCCCTGTTTGGCCACTAATTTGTGGACCAAACAACCATTTCAAATTTACAAAAAATTCCAAGGCTGGCAAAAGAAAAATTACACAAACCAATAATCCTAACATCGCAGAGCTTATACCAATACAAGAAAACACTATTTTGTTTATACTTATTAGTGACTAAAGTTATTTATACTACAAAAGCAATGGTCCTTTAGCTGCTATGATTTATACTAGCAAACAACTTGTAGTTAGACAAAATTAATAAGTCAACCCAAGGAAACTCACGGAGGGGGTGCCAAAATGTACTTTGTATTTTATATAATAGGATAAATTTGTCAAAACTTCCAGATATCATAAAGTAAACTATGATTTACTAGAAACAATGCCCTGGTACTGGCAGTAAAGTGGACAAAATTTAAAGTTTCCTTCAATAACATAACTTCAACTATGGATGATAATATAATTAAGAGTAAAATAGTGGTTACAGTGTAATAAAAGTTGATTAATTCTTCATCTGTTTCAATTTACAAGACACTGAGCATTTTCGAGGGAAAACACTGATAATGGTTCATAACGAATTTGCTCTTTAGTATGCATATGTTGATGGTAGTATTAGAAATTGATATAAAGTATAAAATAACTTTCAATTTGAATCAAAGAGAATTAGAGGTCAGATTCTAATAACATATAGGCACATAGCAATTGTGTGGACTTAGAAAAAACAAAGAAAGTAATACTGAAATACGTAGTACTGTATTTATAAGTCAAATCTCATACTTTATACAAAGTACAAGATAAAAGGAGTACTTTTCATTTCTTATCACTTAATCACACTATTGCACCCCAATGTCAATGAAGGTACCTTCTAATAATCTAAATCATAGATAACGATACCTTAAACACGAAGGCAAATAACAAAGAACAATTAAGACTATGACTTTTACACCTTATATAATTTCATAGGGACCCATGAAGATTGTAAAAATAGCATAACAACCCTTACCAACTATAAGAGTACAACATCAGCTAGTAGTTGTTTCTATAAAATTAATCGATAACTAATTATAGCAACCATTCGATATCAACAACTAATTCCATATTAATCAAGTAATCATTAATTCATCAACACGATGACAAAAACTAATTAAATGCTGATTTATTTTATACAGTACACAGTAAATAAAACACTTAAGGGAGCCCCAGTTTATCTAATAGTAATTCCGTAAATAAATCGATATAACATCCTAGTCATCATGTCGTTTCTGGAAATAAATCAACATTATTAGGGTCCACATTTGATAAAAGTTTTTGTTTTATTTACAAAAATATCACTAGATAAACGTTTTTCGATTTATCAGGAAGATAAACTTGTATTTTCTGATCTTAAAGTAATCATTTTCGATTCCTTATTATTTTTTACGGATCTTTAAGACATTCTATACATCAAAATGGCAAACTTCGAGTACTACGTACTATAATGAGAAAATTGCCTTAAATACCAGACACATATAGACATTATTCTCCAAACAATAAATTGCTAGAATACTATTAGGGGTCGTCATTTGGCTAAGAAATACTCCGTAGTATGGTTTTGAAATCATGAATGAAATCGGGGTAATATAACTTAGACTCTCTATCTTTAAATATCACAGGTCCCTCCGTCTCATTTTATTTGACATAAAGTCACCTTTAAATTTTTGGTTGAAAAAAATTGATGAGGGAAAAGTAGCGCAACCAAAAGTATTACCGAGCAAACTTAAAGTCACGAGTTAAAAAGGAAATCGGGACAAACAAGACATAATATGAGTACGAATTTAAAATTTACAAAAATTTTGGAAATAAGTAAAATGGCTAGAGTTTCCTCTCAATTCCAAAAGATCTTGAAATCCATTTTTAAATGTCGTCCAAGTGACTCAAAAAATAAATAAATAAATAAAATAAAAACACATTTACGAGTTTAATTTTGTCAATCAACAACACATGGTATACGTGTTAGCGGTGTTCCCTTACCAAACTCATACCTCATACCAAAATTCCACGAACCAAAACCCTTACAATTACAATTACACTTACACCATAACACCCTAACCACTCATTATCAGTTTATCACACAACAACATGCAATCAATCAATTAAATTTCTGAAAACGAAAAAGAAGAGAAAAGATAGGAGTAAAAACCAGAAATCCGAAGGAGAAAGTCCCGATAACAGAGAGAGAAATGGAGATAGCAGAAAGCTCAAGGTCTCCAATATGTCCAACGAATATATTAGTGAGCGAATTAGTACCAAACTGACATAGTATATTAAACACCAATGGACCACCAATTTTCCAGAGTTTCACCGATTCCGACCAGTACACCGACGTGGCATCCTTGAAACTCGTAATCGGCGGATAATCACCTTCTTCTCCGGGAACATTTACGGCGGCGATAAGCGGCTCCGACGTATCAACGCCGTTTAACAATGGTGCATCCATTGTTGGAGTATTATGTTTCTCTCTCCTGTTTTGATTTTTGGGAGAGTTTCTCTCTCTAAAAAATCAAGTGAGAAATGTGATGTGTAGAGTTGGTTGTGTTGAGAGCGGAAAAAGGTGAATAAATAGAGAAGGCAAAATGAGCGCCTAAAGAAGCTGGTGTATCGTTGGGAGGATTTTAGGGCGGGTAGTTAGAGGCTTTGGTTTATACTTTGTCACGTGGATTCTTGTTATTTACATATAAAAATAATCTAATGTTTTGTGGATTGGGATAGGGAGAACTCGTATTCGATCTCTCGTTACAATAATTGAGAGCAGAGTGGAACATAATCACTCATAACTGATCTCTAAATTCATATTAGCCCAAAAAGTAAACCGGATGAAACACCAAAAAAAAATCTATTGTACTGTTGTACATGTTATTGTTGTAGTGTGATATTGTGACTTGAATTTTCATTATTATTGATTGTCAAATCTATTGTGTCGTATTTATTTATTGCTCTTTATAATTAATGTCACATAATTGATGTGGCGAAATAAAGGACGAGGTGGGTATTTGCTCATTTTAATGCTTCTTCTCATTTTTGAGGAATTGAGGGTCAGACCGTGAGAGCGTAACATTTTGTTCTATAAACAAGTGTACAAGTAATTTTTAATTTGAATGTGTTTTTTATGGAGTTTCAGTCCAGCTCCATTCAGTTCAGTTCTAATTAGTTCAGTTCACTTCAATTTAGTTTCTAATTTCCTTTTTTTGTAAATTATTCAATTTAATTCAATACCTAATTTCCTTCTCTCGTAAAATATTCAGTTGAGTCCAGTTCAGTTCAGTAAATCAGAACAGGCCATTACTCGTGAATTGTTAATAAATTCTCAACTTCACACTAAAAAAGGAGTATAAATGCTTATATACAACGAGCGCCCCGGAGCGTTAGATAAGGATAAATTATATTGGTTGAAATGGTATCAAGTTAGGAATTCATGACAAAATCACGCGTCGTTCGGTGTAATTAATGTTAATTTTACTCTACTATTTTCACTTTAATTCTCTTATCTAACGCCTCGGAGGCGCTCATTAGCTTTTGCCATATAACATTACCCTTTTATTTATGGATAGTAATTATTATGGGTAAATTGTTTTTAGATATGTATTAAACTATTAATATGAAATTTCATAATACTAACATGTAATTATACTTCGTATATATAAATGGTCAAATTTATACATTGGCACGTATGTTTGTTAATGTAGTTGCGAGTATTTATTTTTTATTTTCTTTTAGGTATTGTTAATATATTTTTAGTAATTTAGTGCGCTATGGAGTACATGCCCTATATGGCATGGCATAATTACTCGGGACTAGAGGTATCAGATAAAGTAATGAAATTGCATCTTTATTTCAGAAATTACGAGTTGAAGTGGATGTTATGATCGGAGTCTTCGGAGATTCTTATGAATTTTGGTTTACATTATTGGAATAGTAACTAAGAGTATTAGAGGATTGATAGATACAATTATATAAGACAAGTTATAATGGTAATTAATTCTTTGAATGTAGCTGCGCTTAGTCTGAAAATTTTAAGGTGCAGGCGGCTGTACCTTGCTTAGTACAGTCAAAAAATGCAAAAAGAACATGTAACTTTTTTGTAAAGAGCATATAATTATTTTGTAAAGAACATATAGTTGTTTTGTTACGAACATCCAATTTTATATATTTTTTTCATATCTAAAGAACATTTGTGATATTAATAAAAAAAATGATAATATTAAATAAACTTTATCTATATATAAGCACCCTAATTTGAAGATAAAATTTAATAAACTTTTCACATTAAGCAATGATCAATATGTTGCAAATAAAGTACATTACACTGATTGATCAATGAACATAAAGTCATAAACATATGTTCTTTTTATTTTTATTTTTTTTGTGCAAATATGTTCTTTTTACTCTAGGTATATGTTCATTACATTTTGATAGTATGTTATTTTTACTTCAGGTATATGTTCATTACATTTTAATAGTATAATCTTTTCACTATAACTTTATGTTCGTTACTTTTATATATCTTGTTCTTTCCTACAAAACGATTGTACGTTGCACCGTACAGGCGCCTGTAGGAACCAACTATTACGCTTAGTCATCAAAAATAAAATTTGTTACACATGGCCAATGGCATATAACAAATTGCAATTAATCTATCATCATCATTTCTTATCAACTGCCAATGGCCAATACAAACTTAATTTCTTTTATGTATATCCAAAAAGATTGGTCTTACTATGTGATGATCGCTTATAAAATAATAAATTAATCTATTATATCATTAACTGAATAACCTTATAATGCTAATGAAATAATTTTATATCATTAACGAAATAATCCCATTCATACAAGTGATTTAGGTCCTGTGCTTTTGTATTTTTGGACAGAGCAAAACTGAACATGAGTCAAAAAAGCAAAGTAGGGCAAATTTCAACTGAGCATAACAACTCAAAAAAAAAATCTTACTTCCTCCCTTAATATTCATTTTTATTATAAAAGCAAATATAGTAAATTTGTAAGTGTGACAAAATGTGGGAGGTAAGATGATCACAGAGGACTGCTAAAAGTAAAAATAATTCGAGTTTTTTAAAACATTCAAAAATGAAATATGAGTTGTACATTTTATTTTATTCTTTTGTTGAAAAAAACCAATTTTTTTTTTTTTAATGTGTTTCGAAACCGAATTGATCTCAGGATCTTCTAAATCCGAGTAAGAAATTCTAACCATTTAAGTTATCCCTTACTATAAAAGAACCAGATATTATGATACTAAGAGAATATATACACAAATACTTGTGGACTTTAGAGCATAGATTGAGATATATTCAACATGAATATTGCAAAAGTTGCATCAATGATCTAATGTTATGTCTGAACATAATTGCAAACGAGAATTTTAGAGTTTTTACTCAATAGTCAATACTTAATTCTGCAAATAATTCTGACTTTTTTCAGATTAGGAGAGTTTCTTTTTCTATAGGTAATAAGAATGGAATTATGCCAGATTTTATTTACAAATAAAAAAACATTTCCCATTAATTGTGTTGCTTTCAATCCCCAAATTCTGCCCAATTAGGCAAAAGTATATCATCCCTTGATAGTTTAATTTACCTGATTTTATAATATTTGCCTCCTTATATAGTCATTTTTATCATATGTTAATATGTACTCCGTAAAAGGAAAGATAAAGTGAGGGAAATTTTTTTACCAGTGGATAACATATGTCATCATGGTTTCGCTTTTAGTGTTCACAAGTTTTTTTTTTTTTTACAAGCAGTGTTAAGTTATTGATTGATGTACTTTAAGTCTTCTCATTGTAAACTTTTTTAATTAGAAGCCATTTTAATTGCCCATGTTTTATTTTAACTAATGTGGAAAAATTTCACACTACACAATTAAGAATCACAGAATACCTTTTTTAAAAAAAAAAAATCGAAAATTAGCTACAAAACATCCATAATTATTTTTATTAGACATTGTTGCAAGAACTGAAGAACATGACATGATGAATAGCTAATGAAACCAAGAGAGTGTCGTATGATCAGATTCAATGAAATCAACACTATAACAATATTACAAATTACCTTACCTTTAAAGTTTGCAATTTTCTTGGGACAATGACCTCTGTTATCACGAGGTTTACAATATTACATCAATAACTTACGTATTATCAGTTGTAATTTTGTAAACTTGTAAATTAAACTTGTGACTAACAGTTCAGAAATTTTGTATCATTACTCTTTAAGAAAAAGTTTTACCGAAATTATTTGGGTTTCAAACTTATTGGCAAGAATGATGTACTACGTAATATATTTAAGGAGTACAGGAATAACAAGCTGCTCAAGAACAAGATTTTACTTAATAAGAAACATATTTTAATAGTCGTATATGAATATGACTAACTTGTTTAATTAGATTAGATGAAACATGGACAATACTGATAGAGTATAAAACATAATTTTATGTCTCAACCAAACTTTTAGATTGATTGGGCCTTTGACAATATCTCCCTCAAAAGAAAAAAAGAAAAAAATACGGGCAATATCAAAATCAAGTATGCTAACATTTTAGTTATAAATTAAATGAGTTAGATGGGTTCGAAAAAGAAAAAAAAAAGAATAATACACAGTAAAAATTTCTCCCCTTTCCAAAATCCTAGCCTTCATTGTTGAAGTTTGAAGGGCTTCCATTGATTTTAACAGGTAGCTAAAAAGCTCCAATCATTGATTTTTTTATAAAAAATTTAGGTTTATAATAATTTTTCCTTCTTTTGGGAGGAAACTTTCTCCCTCAAAAGAAAGAAATTATGATCTAATTCGAAAGACAAGGGTTTTTCGACCTTCTACGAAAGACAAGGTTTATCTCCTCTTTTCAGGGAAGAAATATAACATTACCCATTACAGAATTGATTTTTTTAAAACAAAGACACCTTTTTTGGGCCTTTTCTATAAACAGTCCAAAGACAATAAATTCATTTTGGCCTTTTGGGCCTTTCTTGATATCTGAAACAGATCCAGACATTAAAATATTATGGGCCTTTTCTATTATCTTTAATAAATCCAGACAAGAAACAAAGAATTTATGTCAATACTCTTTTCAATGTTTTCATATGATGAAAATGAAAATATGGGGTACTACAGAAAAAACTATAAGTTAAACCATGAGCAATGTGTGGTTCCTACAGGCGTGGGTATCTTGTATTGTACAGCCATTTCGCGAAAAGAACATATTACACATATGTAAAGAACATATCGTTCTAATGAAAAGAACATACTATTAAAAAGTAAAGAACATATCGTTGTAATGTATTAAAAAGTAATGAACATATATTATCTAAATAAAAAGAACATATTTATATTAAAAAAGAGTGAAGAACATATGTTTATGTTCTTTAATTGTCAGTGTAATGTACTTTTATTTGTGATATAATGTTAATTACTTATTGTGAAATGTTTTTTTTTTTTAAATTATGGTGAATATACATAAATAATGTTCATTACATAATATTGTCATGTTCTTTATAAATATTACAGATGTTCTTTAGATGTATAAAAAAACATAAAATTGAATGTTCTTTACAAAACAATTATATGTTCTTTACAAAACAACTTTAT